TCAAATTTAATCCCATCCATTACAGTAACCTACTGTACAGCAGAGCGACATCCATGACTTACCCGCTTTTTTAATTTTATATGTATAATAAATGTAATTAATACCTTTTTCAAATTATGCATCATTGCATATAAACAAGCAATTTGACCAATGTCATTGCTAATTGCAAACAGTAAGCTTCTTGCCAGATCTGCTTCATTGTAATCACTTTCTGAAAACATAAAAAATAAATATCAAAAAAGAAATCACCTCTACTTTGTACCTGAATTTTGACGAGGACATATTTTTCCAAAAGAAGAAGCAATTAAATCTGAATGCATACCAAGAGTTTCATAATCTCCACCATATATATCTTTTACAAGCATATCAGCCTTTCTATGATCTCCTTTTTCGGCAAGATCAAGTAATTCATCGAATGATTTGGCTTTAGTCAAAAGTGTACCAAGGCCCCAGAATGTGCCACCTCCTGTAGCTGTACCACCAATACGCTCGTAACAACTATCCGACTCCACTTTTAAAATACTTACACCTGAGCCAATGTTAACCAACATATAAGGAAATACATGTGGGTCAGCTGTTTGAAATTCATATTCTGGGCTACCATTTCGGTTGTAAACAAATGCTTCATCACTTATATTTTTCAATAAGAAATTACATCCTGTGATTAGACAAGTAAGTTCATCTTCTTTATCTACTCTGAAATTTTTGTAAGGATAATGTTAGTAAAAATAAAAACATACCTAACAAATCATAACTATACATACTTTAATCCCAATTTGTCTTGAATAAGTTTGCTATACTTGTATGCCCCACCTCCGGTGGCTTTAATGCTTTTTCCTTTTCGTTCATCGCTGTTAACTAAATTATCTCCAATAAAATCCAAACAGTTTTCAATATATTTTGTTTCAAACTTGACAAAATGCAGCCTTGCTTGTTCAGAATATGTGTAAACAAACTTATCATTTTTCTGGAAGACATTTGTGTGAATATTTAGTATAATTAACATTTAATCAAAGTAATTATTTACAATATATCATACGTCATCCTTGTTTTTGTCATCATTTTTGTTTAAGTTATCAGTTGCATAATAAACTCGTCTAAATGATACTGTTGAATAATATGCTATTTTTGTAAGTGAACCACCTATAATATACATTTTCAATTTTAATTTTATTGGTACGTAGTAATAAAATATATTATGTTATTAGAAAAAATAAGGATATAAGATACCAAATATTATAGTAATATCTTAGAGACAAAATTTAAACTGGTAAACAGTAATTACAATTTAATATGAAGGAGGTTTCAGTCACTWAAAGTATATTTTTTGACAGAAATTAATAGTTTAAAACTATCCATGAATATACAATTTTAAGTATGGACACTATGGACTACACAAATCTATCAATATGGACTGCACATCTATTTTAATAAATTTGTCATTATT